TCTGTTTTGTTTCGATTTGTCTACCTTTTTACGACGACCTAACAGAAGGAAACAGTCAGGGTGAGAAGAAACGTTGTCAGTGGTAAGGCAAAATGAGCTACCTCCAGGCTTTCGAACTGCCAAAGTCAAATCTTCTAACGCCAGATTTTGTCAGTTCCATCAACAACCTCGCTCTCTCCGCGACTTCTCTTTTGTGCAATGCACCCAGCCTTTCCACGGATGTTGACTGTTGCTCAGAAAGCTCATTCGAGCGAGATGTTGACTCTACCAACCATATGGTCCAAAGGCAGGGGTTTTCTATTTATAGGAAGGGAAGGTGGAGGCTGTTGTCTGGCTTTAATGGCAGAAACAGACATAAGGGTGATGAGGAAGAGGACACTACGTGTGTCGCCGTAATCGATTATCGCAATGGGGACTTTTTTAGCACCGAGGCCAACCACAACTCCTGTTCCATCCTGGATGATCTGGATAAGTTCGAGGAGGCCAGAACATCGGTGTCTGATTGTAATTCCTTGGCGATGATGCGACGCATACGTCATAACTCCGCCCCACCTAGAACATCGGTCCTCCCGGAGGGATTTGATAAGTCAATTGGCGCAAGGCGTTTCACGGCACAGCTTTTGCACCAAATTATGTCATCACAGGCTCGCTAAATCCTACAACTGCCACCCACATCAACGTTTCAACAGTGCATGGACGACTCGACGCTGGAGTCACAAAAGAAAGCAGAGAACCAATTGAAAAGTCTAAAGTAAGTGGGACAACAGCCCTCGTCATTTGCCTTCCTATGAACCCCGACTTCTTGTGCACACAGTCCTGTCCAATGTGATTTTGTTTTATCCCACACAACATTCCGTCGACACGCCCAGCATGTTACGCCAGATGGAATTTTTTCCCTGTAGCTTACGTGGCGTTTTGATTATTTTTTCATTCGTGAGTGTACAAAAAGCTTTCTGCATTACGTCTAATTCAGTTGAAATAAAAGCTGTGAAAAGAGAAGGTAGCAGCCAATCGAAGTCCCAAACGGAAGAAAGTGTTTCGTTTAATTAACAGTTAATTATAAAGTTAAACATTTCAAAAATGACTATTAAAAAGAGTTTACGATCATACCAAGCAAAGCTGCATCTGTCATAGAGCATGGTAGTAATATGTTCGTTATGACTGACTACATCTGCAGGAATAAAACAAAACAGTAAAGAAGTATCTACGGCAAAACTGAATAAGGATGAATACCCATTTTGATTATTTATTATGAGGACTATAAGCTAGTAAAGAACTCATATGTGTGAACGAAAAACTGAAATTCGTTTTTTACTGGGAAGGAGTAATATAGTGTGACTATTACGTGTGCTACTTTACAGCATAAATCCAAGATTCTTAAAATACGACAGGTTGCCGGCATTTGGATGGGTTTTCCTCGGAAACGTAGGCAATAGCCATTTATAAGCGACTTTTGATGTCCTGATAAATGTAAATATACCCTGTAGGGAGCACTTTCTTATCCCATTCTTTTCAAAAATGAACTCCATGCAAAGTTTATTGAAGTTTTACGAATGTTTTCGAGAATCTGATCAAATTTCAGCTTGATTTACTGTTGTATTCGTGGTCAGGACTTAAAGTTTATAATTTATATTCTTTCCATGAATAAAGCAGTATACACTTCTCTATGTCATTAAGAGGAAACTTAATATTGCGCATACACTTAAGAAGTCGACTGGAGTAAGTTATCATACTTATGTGGAGCGTTAATAAAAAATGTATACTGTGCTTCCTGCATGAACATCTTATGGTACAAAAAAATGAAAATCATGAAAATCATTTCAAAAAGTGGAAAATGGCCTAGCTTCGTGCACAAACGTTTAAAAAGAAGATATTACTTATCAAATAAGCATATGCATACAGTGGTCGCCGTTGACCACGTAATTTTCCTTAATTTGTATAAGTTT